AAAACCATTGAGCAGACCCTCAGCATAGTTCTATCTCCTAATCCTCTAACAGTCCTGCTCGGTATTCCAACATCCGATACCATGTCACCTTTACTGGTTAGGCCTCTCATCCTTTAAAATTGGAGACATGCCATCCCCTCCAACATATTTTGGTTGTATACAAAAAGTTTTACGACCTATACATCTTGAAATGTTACGAATTTCATTGCAGGGGTCTTCCCCCTAGTACTTAAACAGCATCAGTCTCCTCTAATGTAAGAACCCGGTCTTTGATAAACCTCAGGACAGGCCCCAAGTCGTATGAAAGGTCTTTAAGGACCCTCCAATTCTGTTTGCCGTTAAAGAAATGAGGAAACAGCTTTTTGCACAAAGTGTCCGCTTTGAAATAAATGAAACAGGTGATTCTTTAGCGGGCTATACTTGACTGATAGGATTGTGAATGTTTTCATGGTTCAAGTGGTCACCCTTTGTTAGATATAGTGAACATCTAGTGATAATTACACAATGTTTTTGAGGCAGATCATTTAATTAGAATGATTACAAACAAAAATATTCCTACATATTTTTGACCAGAGTCAATCACAAACAGTTACATTCAGTGCACAACATCTGTCGGTACATGCTTGTCCCGCATCATATGCCAAAATGCTTGAGCGGCTGCATCTACATCATTACTGTATTCATTGACCATAACACCGTATATCAATTCATCCATTTTGCTGCGTATGTCCCTCTCATTTTTCAACTTATTTAAAACTGTATCAATAACCCTCTGAACCATTGTGGGAGATGGCGGAATTGGGGTAAACCTCAAGACCCCCTTCACTACAACATTTTTCAACCACGGCCTACACAGTTTTTTTGACCACTTTTCAAAATTGTCAAAAAGGTATTGCGGTTTTGGATCATCGAGACATGCGTGCTGCTGTGGGTCTGAGCAGAATGTGGCGCACGCCTTACAATTCTCCTCTAGGTTCTTGTCTATTATCGTATCCAGAATCCATACCACTACTCCTATAATAAATTGTATAACATTCAGCGGTCTCATGCTTTTGTCCCAGTTGTCTTCCACCGTTGATGATGTCAGCTCTGTAAATCCGTCGTTGACAAGCTTATCAATCTGTGCTGCCATTTCTGGGCTATGCCATCCATCCCCTGAAACTGAGAATATAAACACATTCAGCCTTTTGTCCATTTTAAAACAAAAAACACCAGTACGGTAAACTAGGTACACTCACCATTAAAACTATCAACCCTTTTTCGCTTAAGGTTGTCATGCTTGGTCTTAGGCCCTTCTTGGTTGTCTTTGAAAGTAGCCGTTGGTGTGCTTAATAGATCGCCGTTATCTGCAAATGCGAGCATAAACACTTTCATTTTTCCGCATTTAAACAATAAAACCCGTTGAGATAACTAACTATGAACAATAACTTACCGCTATTCCAATCCTCTGTTCCATGGTCCTTATTCGGTCTTGACGATATAGAAAAAACTTTTGTTCAAAAACATTCGTGATGTTTTCATAGTAGCAACAATTCTAACGATTCTAAAATACATTTAAATGAAAATGTAGCATACCTCCAGTTTAGCATTTCCATCTTTGCGTTGAAAGTTGATCGGCGAAGATGTCTGTGTCTGTTTCAAGCTTTCAGATGTATCTGTATTTTGTTCTCGCCACTCGCTCACTTAATAAAGCATGAGGTGAGTTACCCCTCCCAGCTTGGCGTTTCCATCAGGACAACTAGACATTATTCTACCAAAGTTTTTCATGCGTATT